CATTTATACATAGGAACAAAAACTTGCTTTAATTAAGATACCCTTTAAAATGTTATGCCAAACAGCTACTAAGTCACAAAATCATCAGCGTACTCTTTGACGGTAACATTTCATAAACAATTTGAGGATATGATGAAAATGATGTCTTCTGCACTGAATTTGAATATTTGGTTGAGTTTGGTGGCCATTTTTTATGTTATGAAATCATCACAAAAGGTTATCTTATCTTGACACACCACACATTGATAGAACAGGTGAGAAAGAACAAATTAGCTTCAGTCATTACTAAATTATATTATTATAAAACCTAATAAAGTACAGAGAAGCAAGTTTTGGGTAGGTTTTATTCTGAAATTATGAAAAGGACATTTCACATATAGAAGAAAAAGATGGATACAGATCTCATACAGTGCACTGCAATGCCCAATCAAATTAACACAGGCCCACTGATGAGGATAAGTGATAATACCTTTACTTTCATTAAAGGAAAAAAAAAAAAAAAAGATTCAGAAGAAAGAAGGCCCTTGGAGGATGCAGCGTGGTGGGGTACATTTCTTACATACAGAATACACAAGGACATTCCAAACGAAGGAAATGGAAAAAGACATCAACCAGACACCGATAAAAAGCATCAATAATCACATCACATGATCATCCTTCACTTGTTTTTGAATGGAATGGCTCTGATCACCACTTGGTGGTATAGAGCTGCCAAGGCTGCTCCAATGAATGGTCCCACCCAGAAAATCCACTGCAAGAATAAAATACCATAAAATAAGTAAGAGTTTGTAAGAAATAAGGCATTCTATAATTAAAAATATCAATACATTTAAGAATATTAAGAGTTTAGTCACAACTAAATAAATATGATATAAGTTTTATTTAAATTTTATTTATTAATTTTTTTAATGTTAAATTGTCACAATTTTCACTCTAATAAATAATGAGCAAGTAATTTGTCGACTAACCATGGAAAATTTGATTAAAGGTACTAATTATATTAATTAGCGGTTTGGTGAGGTGCTTACGTGATCATTCCAAGCGCTCTTCTTGTTGAAGATGATGGCGGCACCCAAACTCCTAGCTGGGTTTATACCGGTTCCGGTGATGGGGATGGTGGCCAAGTGTACCAAGAACACCGCAAACCCAATTGGGAGAGGAGCCAAAATCTGACCGGAAAAATTTAACCACCGCCGTTGTTAGTATTTGTTCTAAGTGTGTGTGTGTGTGTGTGTATAGGTTTAAATTAATTAATTAATTAGGGAGAAGGGTGCAAGCATACAGGGACGTGAGAGTCTCTGGCACTTCGCTTGGCATCGGTGGCGGAGAATACGGTGTAGACAAGGACAAAGGTGCCGATGATCTCAGCACCAAGACCGTCGCCCTTGGTGTAGCCGTGGTTTACAGAGTTGGCTCCGCCACCCAACACCTCGTAACGGCGGTCCCCCATGAATCCCTTCACCACACCAGCACCGCATATGGCGCCAAGACACTGCATCACCATGTAAAAGAGTGCTCTTGTCAAGGACAACTTCCTTGCCAAGAACAATCCAAATGTCACCGCCGGATTAATATGACCACCTGTTAACCACCACCAATTACTCAAATTATTCAACTTTTAGACGATTAATTATATATAAAAATTAATTAAGCCCTGGTTTATATATATATATAAATTTACCGGAGATGCCGGCTGTACAGTAGACGAGGGCGAAGATCATGCCACCGAAGGCCCAAGCAATCCCCTGAATTCCGACGCTTTGGCACTTGGTTGGTGCGCTGAGAACACCCATAACAGTCAAAACAGTGATGTACAAGAAAAGGAAAGTAGCCATGAACTCTGCCACCCCGGCCCTGTAGAAAGACCAAGATGTGAGCTCACCAGGCTCAAAAAGTGGCGCCGGTGGTGGCTCCGTGTAGTCCCTGCCGCCTTCATCTTGGCTCTGCGCCGCCGTACCAATAGGCTGCCTCTCTGGGAACTTGTTGGCTCCCTCTCTAACATCCTCTTCCTTGTCCTCCATTTTTCTCCCTCTACTTGGCTCTGCTCTCTCTCCTCAGTGAAAACCGCTTTCTAGAGTTAGTGGCGGTGTTTGGTGTTTGAGGTGGAGGGGGGGGGGGTGTTTTCTTATAGGCACAAAGGGGGAGTAATGGTGGGGGCCTACGGCTACGTATTTAATTGAATTTAGCCAACACCGACCAATCATTTTCACGGGTTTTCTCTCTCTATTATTTTGGCCGGAAAACAACTTTCATTTCTTCATGTCCGTTTTCATTTGGTCCAAAAAATGGAAATAGGGAGAGGGTTGGCTTGACGCGAGGAGTTGGCGAAATCCTAGCCACACAGGTGTAACATGACGACGACATTAGGCACCGCCCCAGTACGACTGACACTTGAGTAATGTTTGAGAGGAAATTCATGAATCGGTAATTCCACAGTGAGCCCTTGGCATCTAGTCCATAGGTACTTTGACTATGTTCGAGTCGAGCGAGTTCCATGACCCACGGAACAATTATTGCGGCTGTCATAAATGTGTGTCTACCCTCGTGCTTTAATAGTACAAACGTGGGCCGTGGCTCACCGATCCATTCCTATTGCGTCTAAAAATCAAGCACTGACTCCTAGTTTTCTACGGTAGTGACACTTTCTTTTTGGCTGTCGATAATAACGATGTTTTTGTAGGCATAATTAGAGAATGTTTTGCATTTCCCATAGATAAGAACAGTATAATGGAACCTGAACGGTTTTTAAATTTACCATTTAAATGATTAGATGAATTTTTTTTTTTATTTCGTAACTTTTGCTTTGTAGTTTAAAATTATAAAATATATATTTAAAAAAAATATAAATAAAGATATGAATTTTATTATTTTTTAAAATATAAATTTTGTCAATTATGAATAAAACTATGAATTTTTAATTTTTTTTAAAAAAATATTAATTTTGTATTAGTTTATTTAATAATTAATTAATTAGTAATACTAATGTATCGAATGATTTTTTTAATTATTCAATTTACCTTTTTAAAAAGAAAAACAATAAAATTAACATTTTTAAATTAAAAAATATAAAATTGATAATCTTAAAAACTAACAAATTCCATATTCTTAATAAATAGGAAAACTAAAAAAATTCATATCTTTTGTCTGCATATTATTTTCTCATTCTCATCAAATTCTATATATATTGAACCTACCACCACTAATTTATGGAAATTATGCTTATTTACAAAATATTAGTACCATTCAGGGGAAATTTTTAGCGTTTATGTTTGATTATCATACTCTGGAGCAATTTTTTTTTATAAGCCAATGATTTATCAATTGAATGTGCAGAGAATGGAGAAGAAAATGTCATGGGGGCGGTTTTATTTTTAATTGATTAATTGCTAAGTTATGGAATTTAATAATTTAAGTATATGAATTGGCAATGACATGTATGGATAACAAAAAAAAAAATGTGGATATATAAAATGTGTTGTGTCATCAAATTGGAATCTTTTTAGCAGTATGATGATTATGAATTTGATCTGGCAAAGGACAACTTTAGGTTAGAGATAGACATATCATATTGGAAATAAGTTGGTAGTATGACCCACCCTTTTGGAAGCTTTCAAGGTAAATAAAAATGGGGTAATATCTATGGATGATCCTCAGGATTATGCTGCATGGGACCAGAGTCATCATAGAATTATCTCATCTGGGTCTGTCTGGAAATTAATTTTGCTAGAACTTGAGTTCAAATTCTAGCATCTTCTACTTTTGATCCCCTAAATTCTGATGAAATTTTCTAGAGTTCTGTGCACTCGATATGGACTCAAGTGCGTAACTGTTTCCTTATCCTTGGGATCCTCTTTTTTTCTTTTTCTTTTTTTTTTTAATGGGTTAATTCTATATAACTTACCTTCCCATTTTTCTCTTGGCTATATTAGGCCAATAATTGCATGCAGAAATGAATTGGGGTTAAATAGACAAAAAGCAAATGTGCAATGCCTTTTTGCAGGTTGCAGTTGCAGAGAAACATTTGATAAACAAAAAGGACGGTCAAGAGTTTGGACAATGCTTATTTTATATTTTAACTAGGCCACTTCTCTGCATTAATTTATATGATATGTGGACAGTAGTTCACCTAAGGCATAAAATGGTTCTTAAAAATTGCTCTAGACTGCGTTGGCGGCCGCCTATTTATTTAGGGCCGCTTGTTTGGCCGACATATTTGTCATCAATTTATTATTATTATTGTTATTATTATTACCTTGTGCATATATATTCATTTCTTCTTTTCAATATCTTTTGAGTTTGATATAATCAGTCCAATGATATGTCAAATTATATATAATGGTTTTACAGTTTCACTTAAAAATATTTAGTTTAAGATTTTTTTTTTTAAAAAAAGAAGAATCCTTATTGGGTAAGAATTTTTTTTTTTTTTTTGGGTAAAGCATTGAGTAAGAATACATGAAGATTTGTTAATAGTATTTTATCTTTTTCTATCCTATACCAAACAACATCATTAATCTCTTTTCACTTTTTTTTTTTTGGGCCAACTCTTTTGATAATTCAAATGCAATTTTCCCTGATAAAAATAAAAAAAGGTGGGATTATAAAGATAATTTTTTTATACTATATTTTCATATAATTTTTATATGTTATTAAATAAGTGGATGCATTCAATATCATTAGTCTCACATAAATTAAAAGAATTAATCATTTTAATAATACGTCAAGTTGTTTAAAAATGTGAGATAAAAATGTTATACAAAAATTATTTTCCATTCGAGAATTCAAAATACAATGAAATCCATGATTTTGGGTGAAAATTTGATAAGGAAACACAACGAGTAAGTTTCATGGAAATGATTTAATTATTGTCAATAAGAACTTGCCTAATTTGATACAAATTAACATAGAAAACCTGAATTTTATGTTAAAGTCATGAATTGAAATCCCATAAAAAATAATTTAATTCTTATGTTTGCTTGCTAAAATTTGTTGCACAATGATTGGGCTTTCATCACATTAAAATGTAAGCTGAGCTGGGTTTTTACAAGTAGACTTAAAGCCCAGTTCAAGTCAGTATTACCCATATTATGTTTCTTTTGGTGTCTGGACATAAACAAGAACACTAGCTTCAAATCCAGATTCATTCTTCACAAGAAATGCTTTCTCTTTGCCTATTTCAAAATAATAGTTGTTTATGATCCAAAATTTATTTCAAATTAGTTGCTAATTTTTTAATATTTTAAGAGAAATAAATAATTTTTATTTAATTTAAAATAAAAGAAATATTTAATAAGAAACATGAACGAATTTGTATTAATTCATTTAATATTATGTCTTTATTTTGAAATTTTATCATGGAATAAAATTGTATGTGTCAACAACAAACAAAAGCAAAAATATACAAACCCCAACCAAATTATATAATCCTACTACATTCCCACATTCCCATTCCTAATGGCCCAGTCAATCACCAAATCGGCTTCATCCAATGGGTCAAATAAGCCCTTTGTACGATAAAAAAAAAAAAGTAAATAAAAATGTTAATTTTATAGTTTTTTATTTAAAATATTAATTTTATCTATTTTTAAATAAAAATATAATTTTTTATTTTTTTATTGAACAATATTGATTTTTTTTTTATTTAAAGATATCAACTTTTAATATTCTGATTAAAATTTTTTTTTACTACGTTAGTATTATTATATAATTAATTTTAAATAAAAAATTAAAAGCACATATACTTAAATAAAAAAACTAAAAATTAATACATTTATTTAAAAATTAACAAAATTAACACCATTAAATAAAAAATTATAAAATTAATATATTTATTTATACATTTTTCCCCTTCTCCTTCTTTTACCAAAACGTTATAATTATAAAGTTGAAAAAATTTATTGTATTATAAATTTTGTAATATAAGTAACATTTTTTTATTTAAACATTTAAGTATAATATTATATTTTTTTCCATTTGTTTAGTGCCACTTTATGCTCTTTTAATTTGGAAGTCACTTATAACCCAATTCTAGACAATTGCCTTTCTTCCACAGCTGCTCCGGCGTCACCGAGGAACTATCATCAGCACTTGGAAGCCAATAGTATTCTCGTACGTGTCCATTGTTTGTCTCTCCATTTTTCAGCGCTCCATTTCCCCTGTTTCAACAACCTTCACCGCACACCCTAACATCTCCCTCCATCTCGGCCGCCGGCCACAGCCTAACCGGAAACAGGTGAAACATCGAATGTCGTCGTGACTCGGGCGGTCCAGCTTGGCCGAGTCGAATCCGAGTTCACACTGATTCCATTTCCTCCTCTTCGTTCTCCCTCCGCATCTTTGAAGTTAAAAAGTGATGGTCAGAGGGAGCTCGGCGGTTAACCGTCGCGCGGTACACAAGTTGCGGCAACTAGGGATCTCGACGGTTGGATCGGTGAAGATCAAGATCCTGCTCTGCTGTTGTATCACTTTAACTCTGTTGGTGCTCGCCGGCCCCGCTTCCTCGTTTATGGGATGGACCAACCACGGTAACTCCTCCGATCGCCTCTCTTCGCTACGGTGCGTGTGAATCTCTGATTAGATTTTTAATGTCTTATTTCCATTTTTTTTTAATCGAAGAAGAATCTTTTTTTTTTTTTCTTGTCCAAAAACGAACAAGCGATTATTAAATTAAAATTTCTAGTTAGATTAGATTATTGATGAATTTGAACTTCTTTTATGTTTAAATAATGGAAAATCTCTTTTTCCTTTTCTGGAAATTAAAGGCAAGGGAAATTTCATAGTTTGAGAGGTGATGTTCTGTGTTTTGTTAACTTTGATTTCATTGTAAGGATTATATCATTGAAGGGTAATGGCGATTAAACTGTGATATTGATGCTGGTTTTTGTATAACCAGGGGACGATATGCGATTGTAATGAACACATGGAAGAGATATGATCTATTGAAGCAGTCCATTTCTCACTATGTTTCATGTCCCAGGCTTGATTCCATACATATTGTGTGGAGTGAGCCGGAGCTCCCTTCGAAATCTCTTAAGAGCTTTTTGAACCATATTGTACAGTCAAATTCTGGTAATGGGCATCAAGTTGAATTGAAATTTGACATCAATATGGAAGACAGTTTGAACAACAGATTTAAAGAGATCAAGGATTTGAAGACAGATGCAGTTTTTTCAATCGATGATGATGTTATATTTCCTTGCTCTTCAGTGGAACTTGCTTTCAGTGTTTGGCAAAGTGCCCCTGATACAATGGTGGGTTTTGTACCTCGCATGCATTGGGTTGATGAATCGGTATGTGGAAATCTCGCTGGCTTTTACTATGTAATGGTCAGTTGCTAGTGTGGTGTGTATTTGTCTGTGATTTTCCCCTAGACAAGGGACATGGCATTACTTCATTTGTAATGGTTGTAAAATGATGGGGGCGTTTGTGATGTGAAACATGTCTTCTAGCTTCTAGCTTCCAGCTTCCTGTTTCAGCTCATTATTCTATTAGAATGAGAATCTGTTTTCATCATAACTTGTTCATCTTTATGCAGAAAGGTAAGGATCACTATATATATGGTGGATGGTGGTCTGTGTGGTGGACAGGTACATACAGCATGGTACTCTCTAAGGCTGCCTTTTTCCACAAGAAGTATTTGAACCTTTACACGAATGAGATGCCTGCATCAATTAGAGAATACATAACCTCGAACAGGTTTGTCAGCCACATCATTAGTCATTTTATGTTGTGTTTCATGTTTAACTAGCCTGCTAACTCTTCCACTGGCTTTGTCAGGAACTGTGAGGACATTGCTATGTCATTTCTTATTGCAAATGCAACAGGTGCTCCCCCCATATGGGTGAAAGGTAAATGGCAAATCAGAGGTCTTTGTATAATATAGTTTCTAAAATGACCATTTAAGCTCATCAAAACGTTACAGCTATCTCATGTTCTTTCTATTAATATGAAAAATATCATCTGGGCACTCTGAATTGGAAAATCACCGTTCTTTTTCTTGTGATTGGTTAGGTTGGATGATTATCAACATCTAGGCTTCTTTAGTTCCATCTAATACCGGTATTTGTTTAAGATTTAATTTCATTATGAGGTCCAGAAAGTGAGAAAGGACGCATAGAAATGAAAAACTAGGTGCATCCTTTCCTTTAATTATTGGAAAATTGAGAGTAAGCAATACAAGAATTATGGGGATTTATTTTACTACCATTGCAAGCAAGAACTAAAAGATTAAGATGGTGCCCCTACACCTTATAGACCAGTTCCCCCTCGAGAGATCTTTATTTGATAATGTTAAGATTGAGGATCATTTGGCAAGCAGAGGGTAAACAGCTCCCTTCAGTTTCTTAATTTGTTGACATTGACACATGACAGCCTTACTAATCACCTACCTTAATGATACAGTTTCATTTACAAAGATTCAAAGAATACAAGTTATATTCACACTGATACATGGGACAACTGTTAATCGAATTCATTTTGGGGTCCATTAATTTTAGTCTCATGACATTGCTTCACCTTAAAGTGCTATTTCCTTAGAAACTCATTGCTTATGGTGCCTTTTTGTTTGACAAGCTTAGAATTAAGTCATTTTGAAATATATTCTTGTACCTGCTTTGTAGGTAAGATATTTGAGATTGGTTCTACCGGAATCAGTAGCTTGGGAAGTCATAGTGAAAGAAGAACTCAGTGCATTAACAGATTTGTTACTGAGTTTGGACGAGTGCCATTGGTACCTACATCAGTGAAGGCCGTAGACAGTCGCAGTGTTTGGTTTTGGTGATGCTGGCATTTACACTTAAAAGGGATTTTATTCCAGAATTTCCACTCTATTGGTTCCATAGGTTGAACACACCATTTTTTCATTCCTTTTTAGTTGTTCCCTTGTATAATATTCTGAAAATTTTCCAGACTCATGGCTCAGAGTATAGAAGCTAATGTAGCCTTGTATTCTTACCATGTAGCAACAGGGCAGTTCTATTCCAGATTACCATTTGCTTGAGATAAGACAGGAGATTCCTACAGAAGGTTGACAAAAGTTTTTCAGCAATAGTTTATATCATTGGCCCCTTTTTTGTTTTTTCTTTTTTTTTTTTGGTTCATCCGAGTGATCAGGTTACACAATAGGGAGTAACCCTTCCCTTATACTTACCCTCCTCTCCCCATCAAGGCAAGACCCAACCCCGTCCTCAATTCAACAATCAAAGGACTTTTATCAACTAAACTAGTTGTCACCTTTGCATCATACCTTATTTAATCCTAGTTATTTTCCATCATACTCGATTTTTCCGAGTTTCAAAAGCATCAGAAGATACAAGGCTTCTGATTTCTCAAAATATGCTATAGATAACCAAATAAGACATACTGCACCGTAGGGTGTTTACCTGGTCTGATACATTCAAAAATTGGAAGATGGGTCAACTGAACAAAAACCAGGAAACACCTATGTTCTTATTATGTATTATCTCCATTGGATCTTGAAAACTTGTCACAGTTTTCGAAAGAGCCACTGAGAGGAAAACAAGTATCTTCACCGCCTGTGCTCCAGAGGAAGTTAGCATATTTGGATGCATGATAAGGATTGTCTGGCTCTGCTGCCATTGCTTGCTGGTATCGCTCTTCTGCCTCCCAAAGGTCATTCCTCACTTTCCACAAGAAGTCTGCATATTGAGTCAATGCCACAGCATCTGGCGGTTCTATTTGGATGGCACGCTTAAAACACTCCTCTGCCCTGTATAATCCCACAAAATGGAAAAACAAACAAAATCAGCCGGTTATTATCATCGTTCTAAGCCATAGTGTTATCAGTCCTAAGAGGTTTTGTTATGGTTCAAGTCATAAATTAAAGAACTGAAAATGCAAAGGACTTGGACATTGAATCAAATTAAATGAGATTGCAAAAAAAGCACCTGTCATGGTCCTTGGACACAAGGTGAAGAAACTGGCCATAATTTAAAAGCAGAAGTTGATTATTTGGCTCCTCAGCTAAACTCATTTGGTAAAGGAGGTCTGTTCTGTAATATTCCTCATAATCATCTGGTTCAAGCTCCACATTTATCTGAGTCACAAATTGCCGCATCATTTGGTAATCAAGAACCTTATCATCTGATTCTCCTCGCATTCTCAAAGCAACCTCCACCGTTGAGTTCCACAAGCCCACCTCCTCAGCAGTCATTCCCCGAGAACCTTCTAGTAGCTTATCAGGACTAACAATACTGGGATATTGGACTGAAGTAGAACAATCACTCTTCGATTTTCCTCCACAATATTCCTCTGTAAATGGAATGGTCTCTGCGATAGTCTCACTAGGTGATGACAGAACGACAGCAGCAGCAACATTATCGGCCATGGAGTTTGTAGTGAAATTAGCTAGAAGTATCATCACATAAACCATGAGAGTAGGTGTCCTTGAAAACACTTGCTGAAATAGCCAGACAAATGAATTGTTCATTTCTCTTTGCACCTTATTCATAATTCCATGCAAGTCTTCAGAGTAGAGACTTCCATGTAGTTGTAAGGCATTGTTTTGGATTTCCTCAATGCTGGATACCAATGACGAAAATGCCTTCTTCAAAGAGCAATATGTAAACTCCCCTGCATCCACAAAGCCCTCTTGCCATTTTTGCTTTTTCTTTATCATCCGCAGAGAGAGTGGAATGTCAACCCTGTTTGCTTTCTGTTCAATATCAATCTTCTCAATGTCATCTCTGCCAGGCCAATCGGGAGGCTCCAGTGATATTCCAAGAATATTAGGCTCAAGAACTTCAATCTTCGACGGCAAAAGTTTCATTGAAAAATCCACCTTGGTGCCATTCTCACCTTCTTTAGATCTGAAATCACCAGACGATTCTGATACCCTGCAAGTAGTTTCCTTGAAATTTTCATCCACATCATTAATAAAACTGAATCTCCGTGCCAGTTCCTCACTTCTTGTTAATTCTTCATCAGGGTTATGATTGTCTCTTGCACTGCAAGCAAGCTTGAATCTATAGCTTCCCAATTTACTTCCATGACAAAGATTTGTCCGATAAACTAAATGACTATACGAAGGTTGGTTGCATCCTAAATAAACCATAAATAAGGAAGAGGCTGGTTTTTGAGGGACTACGAGCCTTGATATCTGCATACCCTTCATTGCAAAATTTAATTCCATACCTTTGTGGGGCTGAATCTGCCAAGAGAACAACAAAGATGGTAAGAAAACAAAACCCCATCAACCAAATCAAAGAACTGAGCTAAATTTCAAACAACAAACAAGAAAAAAACAAAGGGGGAGATGAGAATCAGTTAAAAATCCCATGAAGCCCGTGTAAGAGGGTGATAAAAGTTGGAAGCCTTTCTTTTCATGTGTCATACAATCTAAACCAATTTATAAACTGAAAAAGCAAAGAAGTTGCTTTTGTTTAAATGCAAAGTAACCTGAGATTTTGGATAGAGGCAAATCACCTCTAAAGTCAAAGAAAATCACAATCATTAACACAACACGTGACACTTTCTTCCTCCCTTCGCATCATAAAGTAAAGTCAACAAACACGCACGAAGAAAAAGATATACACTTGATTCAACATGGAACAAATTTCAACTAAAGATAATAAATTTCAGGGTTAAAGAACAACAGAATCAATCATCATTTCTTGAATATTATTAAAAAGAAAAGAAATTGAAAGCTTACCAAGGTTCACGTAAGAATGAGAATATTTTGGTATCGAAAGCTTGTTAAAATTCAAGAGATGAAGAGAGGCGAAAGCTTCAACCTCTGCTTAAAGCTATGGATTTGGTTTCCCAAAAAAGACAGCCTGTGGAAATTGAAATGAGGAATCATTCAAAACCCATTTCTCCAGTGCCCTTCTCCTGGCCGTACAAGCACGAGATTTGCGGTTTAAGCTGAAGAGTGGGATTGCGTCACACGTGGGCCTCTGCCGGTGAAGGAAGACTGTGACGTGGGTTGATCCTATTGAGGGGGTGATACGGTTGCAGAACCGGCAGGTACGATTGATGACAATACGGCGCTTTTATCGAACACCTGGCGGTGTTCAGGTGCAGAGTGATAAAGTTATCACTTATCAGTGGCACGTTGCAGCCGTCTGGACTGTAGCAAGCTGAGCGGAAAGGAGAGAGCTCGCGTTTTGTCCAGGGTTTTAGAACCGGTCCGGACCGACCCGTTTGATAGAAAAATAATAAGATTTTCAATCCAAAACACATATTTCAGTGCTAATATGAAGCTGTTTGTACCATTTAAATTGTATTAAATTATATTAAATTAATTTTTAAATAAAAATAAAATTTAATATCAGTGGTTGTTTATCTATTTAAGGGTTTTTTTAATAATTCAATATAATTAAAAAAAAACTCTACTACTATAGTTACAATTCATTTAGATATATGTCACATAATTATCAACTATTGATTTTTTTAACTAGCAAGTAGTTATCATAACATCATGGTTAAAAACACCATTCGGTGAACTAAACCAATAACGTTCTAGCTATTTGATCATTTAAGGAAATTTCTGATTATTTGCATGACTCTATATGGAGTGCTTGAACGACCAAAAAAAAGAGCAAAGAGTGCTTGAAAAGTCAACATTATCTACCAATACCCTCCTCTTTGTTTTGTGAAATCAACGAATGATGATTTATATAAGGAAATTTCTAATTTATGTTATTAAATACCGTATTTATAATTAATTTTGTATACATTTTTATATTTAATTTATTAAAATAAAATAAAAATATAATATTTATATTTAAAATTTGTAAAAAAATATAAATTTAATATAAAATTTTATATAAAATTAATTACATATATTATAATTAATAAATTTTAAAGTATAAGTTAGACAAATCCTTTATATAATACTTTACATGCATGTAAATGAATCTTATACATATGTATAATTTTTTTTTTTTTTATTAAGGCAAGTGGTTTAAGTGAAGTGAGAGGAGGGGGTGAAGAAGGGGATCAAACGCTTACCATAGTGAAAAAAGTTTACATTAAATTGTTAAGCCATTAGACCAACGGACTTTCTTCTATACATATGTATAATTAGAAATCCAATTGTATGTATCAAACCTAGTTAAAACTGAATCCAAGCTTAATTGGAATTTTTAAATAAATTTTGGTAATATTACTGTAGTAGAAATTTAATATTTTTATGAGTAAATTTAGGCCTTTTCACTTCTGTGCTAATTATTTAATTCGCTCAACTGGTTGGACCAAAGAGGCCTGGTAAACTTCTACCAAAAAAAAAAAAAAGAGGCCTGGTAAACCAAAAATCAATAGGTTGATCTAGCCCGTCCTTAGCCGAAAGTATTATAAGTAGGATTTTACATAATATTATATATTTATAATATAATGTATTATTATATAATTATATTTTTTATTTAAAAATTATTTATAATATTATAAATATTTAATATTATATTATAATCATAAATTTATAATTGATATTATAAATATGACATTAATTTTGTATTGGGCTATTCATGGGCTGGGGGAGTTCTACTTCTTGAATCTTGAGTGAATAACTGGAGTGGACCAGACTCATAAGCCCATCTATCTGTCACCACTGGAATCACAATACTGACTTCATTGAGCCTTATAAAATAAGGGAGATTAATTAATGAACAAAAGGCAATAATGAATTATAAACCCTTTCGAAAAAATAAAAATGCAATTCTACAAAATTTTACGAACAATCTATAAATACAAAAGAATAATTAATTAATAGTAACATTTCTAGATCTGTGGCTATGGATTTGATGTTTTAACTTAATTTTCTTTCGAGAGAAAAAAAAAAAAAAAAACAAATATTATTTCACTTCCTCCTTCGATACTTGCCAGATTCTCCTCTTTCGTGACTCCAGAATTCTCCCAAAAACGTCTTGGCCGCATCCAGACTCGGGTAATAAGTCGGTTCCAGAAATATCTGACTCAGCGAGTCGTTTGAGTTGGAACTCGCCACGACTCGGTTCCCCTTCGCCTCCAAGCTCCCCATCACCACCACCAACACCTGCTTATATGCGAAAAAGAACCTCTTCAACGCCGCCTCTATCGCTTGCAAGGCTTGCACCAGATGAATCTTCTCGAACCCCTTCTTCTCGCTGTACAACCTCATTGCTGCTTCTTGTATCCTTGGCCCTCCGCTCGGATCCACCTCGACGCCGAGGATAGACGGTACTTTGTGCTTCAGTTCCTTGGACAATTTCGTGATTTCGACCAATCCCGTCGACCGGAAACAAAACGCCTCCCTTTCCTGCGTCGATTTGATCTGTAACTGGCTTTTCAGGTGGAGGAAATCGTCCGGATCCATCAGGAGGTGGAGATCTTCGATTTCCGCTAGGAGCTTCCAGATATTCTCCAGCAAATAGCAATCGCTTGATGCTTTGCGGAAATCCTTAGCGTCGATTCTCTCTACAATCCGGTTTAGCAGCTCGTGCGCTGTTTGTATCCAGGATTCGAGGATTTGGTGAGTCGTGTACAGAGTCAGGTTCTCGTGGTTCTCGATGTGATCGTACGGCGTCCTTTTCAGCGCGTGGAGCTCGTTTGGTTTGCAGACTGCGTCGTAATTTATATTTGGTTTTCCGGCGAGGTTTGGTTCACCTACGCCGAGAGTGTACGGGCAGCCGCGCATCTCGCACTCGACGGAATACAGGATCTTCTGCGCAATGTCCTCCGACTTGTGCCACGTGGCGAGCCGAGGCAACAGGCTGGCCTCGCTGGAGCGATTCACCACGGTCGACGTCTCTCCTGGAATCTGCCAGACCTCAGCGTAGCTGTCCTCCCTAGCGAGTACGCCGCTGGACGATCTTAGATCCACGATCGGCGCAGTACCATGTGCCTCTTGGTCCTCGACCTCGTCTTCGCACAGCATCGCGATTAGCTCTATCTGCCTGGAGGCTAGCGACTGCAACCGCCGTTTCCACTCGCGCGCGTTCGCATAAGGCCTTGGATCAGACAACACGATCGAAACAAAACGAAACGTAATCTCCAACGCTTGAAGGCCTGGTTTCAAAACTGGTTCATTTCTCCACTCCGGAAACTCCCTCGACTGCCACAACTTCTTCAGCTCCGGTAGCCTGAGATAGTTCTCATAAGCAGAACAAGACGACGCGGAAGACGAAACCACCGGTGATAGTATATTGGAGAGTTGAATCGACATCGGAATCAAAACGTTGAGCTTGTTGGATAGTTCGGGTGATTTGTTTGAGATTTCTGAAGCCACCATCTTTGCTTTCCAATCTAAATCAACCATTCTCAAGAGAAACGAAAACAAAATGAAATTAATCGTTTGAGGTTTGGTGTTTCTAAAATTCTTTCTGGTTTTGTTTTTGGAGTGAGATAAAAGGATAAAGAAGGGGGTATATAAAGGGGATAGTGGGAAAGGGCGTGTTGATATGGAAGGAGATTGAATCAACAGGACAACGGATAAATCTCATATTCGTGGTGGTTTGGAATTGAAAGAGTAATTAATTATTAAAACAAGAAAACAATTTTGTTTCCTTTACTTTTCAAAACAGTTTTTTTTTTTTTTTTTTGGTAAAAACTTTGCAAAACAGTTATGAGAATGCCTTTTCAGTTTAATTGGCTGTGGATTAGTTTATTTGAAAATAGTTAATAATTAATAATTGATAATTAATAATTATTGATATTTAATTTATTTGATTAAAATTAATAATTAATAATTATTTTTAATTATTCAAAGCAAACATCTTGTCATATGTTGAATAATAATAATATTTGTATTTAAGGGTATAAATTAATAATGTAATAAATATATATTTTTATAAATAATTTGCATAAAAATCACAAAATTAATCTTTATTTTACAAAGGAACACTATTGCCACATTATTATTATTATTATTATTATTACTACGTGAATAGTTTTAATTAGTCAATTAATTAAATTAAAATAAATATTTATATATTTATATAAATTAATTACAAAAAATACAATAAATATATACTTAATTTATGCTTTAAGTATACATGATAGAAAAATGCAAAAGAGATAAGAGTTATAAAAAAAAAAATTAGTGCATGTTAATCTTAATTTTTATAAAAAAAAATGGGTGAGGAGGGGGAGGGAACATTTTTCTTTTAATTTATGGGATTAATAAGTATTAGTCTATATTATAAACAATTAGATAAAAAAATCTTAAAACTATATTATTTTAAAAAAATATATAAAAAATACTAAAACTTCATTTTTGTTTTAAAAATGAAGATATTTTAATTTTTTAAATAAAATTTTACTAAAATAATGTACTTTTATTTTTTTTAATTTTTTAATAATATAAACTATTACTCACTTTTTTTTATTAATTTATTTACTTATTAAAATAAAAAAATAAAGAAAAAAATGATTCAATTTTATTTTTCTTTATTTCCCTCTACCCCGAACACTTGCTAAAAGATAATGAAGAAAAATATGCTGTATTGAATATTTACCTAACGTAGACTTGTATGCCAGAATGATTTGGGCTGGTTTGTACTGTACGTACTTGAGTGCATGGGAACTACTTCCCTTGGAATCCAATGTTATGTTTCCTTATTTTTTTCTGAAGGTAAGCAATGTTGTGTGTTTCAGTTCAAAGGCGAATGTATGGATCGTTGAATTTGGACTCTGGTCCTTGTTTGCTTCTACACTTCCTGTTTAATTAGGCCGTCAATTACTACCAATCACGTGAATAATTTAAAAATATTGTTAATATTCCGTCAAAATTAATGTACCTTGTCTATCTAACAATTCAAGCCAAGCCACTATGAAGATTTAATTTTAGATAAATAAGTGTGATTTTATAAATTAAATTTAAAATTTAAAATTATTATATATAT